CATGGCGCAACCGAAGAAGAAGCTGACAACAACACTCAGGAACAATACAAAAGAACAAAGGGTTTCGGTACAGCTCCTCAACCTGACACAGAGGATTCTCTGGGCAACCCCTTTGTGCTTGTGATTGAAACAAACGGAATTCACCATCTTCCTTTGCATTTATGCACCTGTCCAGGAGCTGCACCCACCGATGAGCAGCTGTTGACTTCATAGTTATTTCCAACAAGCTTTCAAAATGTTAAAACACTGTTCACTTTCAAGGTACTGGATGATTTTCGGTTGTCCAATCTTACCTGCAAAACTTCCGCATATCAATACTATCTCAAGCTGCAGCACCTGACTTCTCTGGCTTTCCCCAAGTCGGTTCCGGTACACATTGCTTTGGTTGATATACTTGAATGTTGTCTCACCCATCACCCCAGGACAGGTATCGCGGATTCAGAAGAGTTAGTCGGCAATGGCGCAATTTGGAACTTAAAAAATGCTTTGGTTTTGGACATGAGCCTAGAATGCCGAAGGCTGGAGAGATGGCATATGGTTGTGCATCTTGCGCCCAGCCAGGTGTTAACTTGCCAATGAACTGGAAAGAGGACCCACATCCATAAGCATGAACTGCCCTTTGTTCACATACTCATTCCCATTGGCAGCAAGGTCTTCACACGATTTCTTTGTGTTGATGGTAACTTCTCAGCTGATCACCTGAAGCAACAAAATGCCATGGACGATGTATGGCTGACCAGTGGGGACAATACTTATCACTCCCCCACCTATTCCTACTGGACTCCGGGACTCCAGTAGGATTCCTACTGGATTCCTACCGGATTTTGACAAAATTTCCAAAAAGGCATTTTCACATATTTCTCCATTCCCCCTCCTACTGGACTCCTACTGGACTCCTACTGGACTCCTACTGGACTCCTACTGGACTCCTACTGGACTCCAACTGGACTCCTACTGGACTCCTTGTACTGGACTCCTACTGGACTCATTCCTTAAAAATCCAGTAGAATTCCACAATTCCTGGTGATTTGGGTTCAGTCCGGTAGGAATTTACTAGGACTCCACTAGGACTAGGATACAAAATTTGTATGGTGATCAGCCAACATAAAATGTGTCCCAGTCCTAGTCCAGTCCGGTAGGATTCCGGGAATCCAGTAGGAGTCCAGTAGGAATAGGTGGGGGAGAGTAAAGAGCTCAGTGGGGAAGGAATGATGACAGAGAAGGAGGCTTACAAGAAGTACCTGGCGCAGCCCACTGTTACTCGCCAGGTGAGTTGGACCGCCTTCCCATATGTGGCGCATCCCAGTTCCGCCGCCCGAGGTCGCTGCGCCATGTAGCCATGTAGCATTTGATGCTTTTGGGCACAGAATCCTACTGCGCCCACTGCCCCTTTCAAAACCTGACTCATTTGGTTGTAGGTCAAATCAACATGCAGCAACCACCAGGCCATCAACAATGCAAGTCAGAATCACACAGGCTGTGATGCAACTGGCATTGCAGCATTTGCCTGCCCCCGATCAGGCGCCTTCATTCCAGGCAGCGTTGTTGACTTTCAGAAGGGCGAGCGCCAGCTGAACATCGACTATGCTCTTTGTGAGGCGCTGAAGAACATGGGACTGAATGGTTTGGACGATATCATGATCATATATGACGTGATGTGTCAGTATCATGTTAATCTCTGGGACAGGATTGCTAACAATCCAAATCTTTCCATCTCTGAGAAGGCTAATTTGATCATGGGAATTGGTTTATTTCATGTCCATGGTCATCAGGATGAGTGCCTCTTCCGGTTGGCGACGTCATTTATTCCTG